AAACCCAGAATCTAAGACAATATTGTCAGTTTTTGATAATAGCCACAGTAATCTTTGTCTTGTCTCAAATTCATTTAGTAAATTTAACTTTCCAGGTCCTAACCATGTATCATCCAATTATTGTTTTAATTTAAAAAAATATTTATCAAAATAATATGATATTAAGAAGAATAACTATATAGCAAAGTTACAGTAAGTCCCCAAATTCCAGATTTATAAAAAGATCTAATTTTCCTTAAAGTCTTAAACTGCCATTTAAAAAATTAAGAAAGTGGTTTATTTACTAAATTTGAATAATGAGAAGAAAGGCATAATAATTATATACTTACTTTTGTTACTTTTTACTTTTGTATTTACTTTTGTTATATCATGCAAGTATTTAATAAATTAAATATAAAATGGTGTTTGGTGAAGAAAACTTAAGGACTTTTGTAAAGATTGTAATATAATTATAGTTTAGGAGAGAAACTGAAAATTAAATTGAGTACGCCATAAAGTGAATATAATACATATTTATGTTATAGTAGGAAAAGATTGAGTATCACTATAGTTAAATAAGATATATCATGTGTAAAATGGATTTGCATTTTATAAAATAACAACCTATGTTGGTTATGCGGATGAAATGAATTAATGTATTTTAAAACATTTCTGCCACAAAGGTAAGTATTCAATAAATACTAGGCTGGGCAATAGGAGGTTTATAGTTGTGAGCACATAAAACTCAGGGTTTCTTCTTGTATTATTATTTAGTAATTATTGTATTATGTTCCATATGAACAACTATAAACCTTCTTTTGCCTACTCTTGAATAAGCTACTAATGTAAACTCAAGACTTTTGTAAAAAGTTGTTTTTAAAAATCTCTTTTACTAAACTATTTTAGTAATGTCATCCTAACCACCACCAGAACTTATTTGAAACAATCGTATATGCACTTATAGCACCTAGATTTTTGTTTCTATAACATTATGAAGTAGCTGCATCTAGGCTTGACTTAGGGGGTGGGTAGTTGATCAAGCTAGAATATTTTAAATTATATTTCTGGTTAATAAGAGGACAAAGAAGCCAGCATTAAGGGAGTCACAGTAGACAAACTGCGACAATTTGCATATGCATGTAAACAAGTTGAATCTGCAAAAACTCATTTAAATCTAATGTTACTCAGAATCAGAGAGTTTAATATCATGCATGTGTGTGCCTATAATATATATGTAATTTTCATGCAAAGGAAAGATGACTCTAATAGGATATGTTTATATTTTATTACCTTTAATAAATATGTATCTATTTATAATATAGATTAGTACCTTTTTCTAGAAATATAATTAGAAGAGACCCATTTAATGTTTATTTAACATTGTACAATAGGTCTTAGGATCACATCGTTTTAAGCAAATGTAATATTCCAAAAGGCAAAGGCCTATATAAAAGCTATAGATTTAAGGTATCATTGATAATACAAAAATAACGTTCAAATTATAAGAGGCTGAGTCTGTTAAAGAGGTCTCATTTCTGAATGAAGCAACCAAAATTCAATTGGTTGATAATTCAGAAACTGACTTTAGATTGGGTAATATTATCCTCTTTTCTACTTTATCTTTGAAGATCACAGTAGAGAAAATTTGATTATATATATATATATATATATATATATATATATATATATATGTATATATATATACATAAAACATTAATGTATAAAATGTAAAAATACATACATAATGAAATTGTTGTAAACTGAGTAAAGTATCTATATATGTAAAAGCCTAAGCGACCGAATGACTGAACGGAACAACCAATCGAAGGGTCGACCAGTTGCTGTGACACACACTGACCACCAGGGGGAAGACACCCAATGCTGGAGCTGCCCCCTGGTGGTCAGTGTGCTCCCACAGCCAACCTCCAGCAGCCAGCAAACCTCCCACAGTCCCTCCCCTGGCTGGCCAACATCCCGTGGTCCCTCCCTCTATCGGCTGGTCCCTCCATTGGCCCTGATCGGGGGACTGGCTGGCCAACCTCCTGTGGTCCACCCTCCTCCAACCAGCAGACTCAATCACCCCAATAGGGACCAGATAAGACAGCCCCTATTGGCCCCGATTGCCAGCCAGGCCGAGGGACCCCACCCATGCACAGATTCATGCACTGGGCCTCTAGTAAAATTATAACTCAAGAATAAGCAGAGTTTAGTTGTAAATATTCATGAAAAGTTTAATAATAATTTTGATAATTTACAAGTTTTATCAAATTTTATGACATTTAAAACAATAGACTTGTATTCCTTTTGAATATGTAATTTGATTAAATAGGGTTTAATAATTATCTAAATTTACTAAATGTATTACTGTCATTTTGAAATATTAGTTGTGTAATGAATATTTAAATTTTTACATATAGTGGTTGATAGAAATAAACAATTAACAATTTCAGCTTTAAAATGTGTCAAGAGTAATGAGGTTTCTCCACCCACAAAAGCCTTTGAACTTTAAATATTCTATTAACAATGAGCAGCAAATTAATGTTTTATGGATCTATGAGGCTGGGCATAGAAAATCATAATGTAAAGGAAAGTTGCCACAAAGTTGTTGTTTTTTTAATGTTACTTTACCTCTGTATCCTTTCACTTCCTTTCAGAGCCACTTTTCTTTTGCTCACCCATTTCCTCCCTCATTTTCTGCCCCTAATCACACAACTATTTTGACTCCTAGAATCTGATAGTATCCATGCTCATACCTAAGTATACTAGAAAGCAAGTTGATTGACCCTTCACTCTCTCTGTACCATCTATATTTGCATTTTTCTTCCCAAATATCATCTGGAAAAAAGATAAAACTAAACCTAAAGAAATAAATTTTTATATCATCAGTATATACATGATATCTAGTGGGAGACTAATTTTGAGGCAGGAGTGGCCTTCCCGATGTAAATGACTGACTGCTTCAATCAGGCATGTGTCAGATCTTATGCATAGGCATGGCCTCCAGAATACAATGTTGAGTCAAGGGTAGTGTGAGTGGGGAGGTGCAGAGACATAAATGCTACCAACACATACATACATATGTCTACACAGATGTTCATGTTAAAAATAAAGTAAATATTGCTCTAAACTAATCTCAAAACAGCTTGATGCTGTACAGGTAAAACAGATAGATGATGGATAATTGATAGATGATGATAGATGATAGCTTGATAGACAGGCATAGATAGATGATAGATAGATAGATGATAGATAGATAGATAGATAGATAGATAGATAGATAGATAGATGATAGATAGATAGAAGCTGGTACCAACGTGCTCACAGCAACTGGGGGTAAGTATTTGATAGCTGTGACTAGGAATCCTAGGAAGGCACAGTCATACAGACATGTAGGATCTTGAATTTGGGTGGCGAACACACAATACAGATGATGTATTATAGAATCATACACTTGCAACTTATATAATTTTATTAACCAATGTAACCCCAATAAATCCAATGAAAATATTTTAAAAGGCATGTAGGCTTTTCTAGTAAATATATTTCTCTCTAAAGCATGAAGAAAACTTCACCTATTTTGCTGCCACTGCTGATTTGGGGAGGAAAAGAACCCATTTGATATATAGGCTACTGTGAATCGGTGTATATGTCTCAGATTGTATAGTGCAAAGAAAAAGGTATAAGCCAGTAATATTTGCATATCATGTTGTCTGAATTTGCTGAAAAGACTCCATTGAACAGAGAAGCAATTAGGAGGATTATTTTGTATTATTAAGTTACTTTGTAAATGTGTATTCTGAAAAGTATTAGGTTCTTTAAGGCACCACATAATTATTTTCTAAAATAAAAAGAATATATCTAGGCTACTCTCATGGCATATTTGGTGTATGTAAAGTACCTTTATAAACTCCTTAGCCAAATCTACTTTGAAAGACAATATTTCGATTTTTCTAGGGCCTAGATCAATGTTCTCCAAACAGATCCATTATCATTTCTTTCTTTCCTTTTGTCCTTCACACTCCTATAGTAGGGTGTTTGCACTCTGATTAATTAGAAATAATATGTGATGAAGATTGTATAGAGAAATCTTAATTATTCCATTCTTCGGGGTGTAATTTTAACTTAAAAATCATTTTGTGATGAATTATGTAGCCAATATAGTTACATATAAATTATTAACACAAAGATTCATGACCCTCCTGTCTATATTTTATTATTTGTAATCCTCAAGAATTTAAATCAAGTAGGATTACTTACTAAGAAATAAAACTAAGATTTTTTTCACCTTGTAGTCTATCCTCAATTTGGTGTAAGCCTTCATCACAAGTTAAACAATCGCAAGACTTTTAAAATCAATAATTAGATTCAAAAGATATAGGCTCTCTTTAAAAAACGTATATGATACTATATATATATATATATGTATAT